AGGGAGGAAGGGAGAGAGGAAGGGAGGGAGAGAGACAGAGACAGAGACAGACAAATTTAGAGACAGAGAGGGGAGGGATACAGACACACAGAGGCAGAGAGAGACAAAGAGACAGAGCGAGCTAGGGAAGGACGGACGGACGGATGGAGGGAGACAGACAAACAGACAGACAGAGACAAAAAAATTTAGAGATAGAGAGAGAGAGAGAGAGAGAGAGAGAGAGACAGAGAGAGAGAGAGAGAGAGAGAGGGAGAGAGGGAGAGAGACAGACAGAGAATTTACTAGTGAATTTAATATTTTCACAAAATCATTAAAATCATTTGTACCCATACGGTAATTAAGCTACATTGCACTTTATGGTAAAGATTCACACTAGCAACAAAACAACAAATTTTTAATAAAATGTGTGGCCAATGTATTGTAATGTAATGTATTGTACACATGTATTGTTGAATTTCTACATTAATAAAATTAATAAAACACACTCTAAACTAAAAGTAATTATACACAAATATCAAAAGATCATACTACTTGTACATGTATTATGTACATGTTTACACATAATTCAAATACATGTACTATACATGTAATTCATGATGGCACAGTATACTCCTCACAAAAATGTGTACCACAAAATTTTATCACATTAAAAATTACAACGTGCAAGGAAAATTAATACATAAACAATATTGGAATATCACACAAATAAATATAAAGAAAAACATGTATTGGAACTGGTTTATTATCAACTAGCATGTACTACATTACATCATGTTGTAATAATGTGTGTATCATTCAATATACAACTCACTTTATCTCTTGAGTCAACAGTAGCACCTTTACTGAGTAACCACTGGACAGCATTAATATTGTTACTCATAGCTGCTGCATGTAATGGAGTCCAGTTAAACTATAAGAAATAAACACAACAAATAAAGTACATACAAAATGATAAATAAAATCAATTTTATTACACCATTATTATACAGTTCTTATAATTTTACAGTATTTTCAACCAGTAACTAATAATGCAAGCATAATAATTCAATAACTATGAATGTCATCAATAGGATACTGTGTTTGACTGTATTTCCTCATGGAAACACCTACTCCCAATAAATGCCCATACCTGTATAAACGCCTAGAGACAGCATAAAACATTGACAATAAATGCCCATGCTTGTTTAGATGCCTATGCCACACCCACTTTGCCCATGTGGTTACTGGCACACACTACAGGCAACATAGCAGTAGTAGCTGAGAAGGAAGCTCATAGAAGAAGACTCCTCGGCAATGAATTTAAATGTCTATCCTCATATAAACGCCTACTTCATTTAAACACCCAGCAAACGGGACTCTATAAGAATAAATGCCTAGGTGCTTCCATGAGGAAATACGGTAATTACACAATATTAATATAATAAACTGATTTATAACTAAACTGCAGGTACTTTTACATTATACAAGTCATACTAATACACTAGTCACTACATCATACACTTACCCCATGAGGTTGATGCCAATTGATATATGCCCCATTAGAGAGGGCAGTCCTCATTCCTTCTATGTCTCCATCTCGAGCAGCATCAAACAACTGTCGGTCCTACAGTATTAACAAGTGAATGAGTGTATTATTAACAGTTATTATAATAGTAATATTAATCACTCCTATGTCTCATTATCACATAATCTCATTCAAACACAAAATCCACAGAATATGTAACCAGTGACAATAACCGACCATAAACAACACATAAACAATACATGTACATATAAAAACAACTTTTAATGGAAAAATACACAAACAACTGAGCCATTCATTTACATGTACTTGTATAACATATGAGGGTATTTATTGACGGTGAGGAATTTTGAAGAAATTCTCAACCAATTAAATTTTGGCAACTTCATTAACTCCTAACAAGTGGCAGCTAATAATTGACAATAATTTGTGAGTTTCAATTTGGAGTATTCTTATAATTTAAGGACTTGACAAATTTAATCCCTCACCAATAAATCCTGTAATACAGTACATGTACATGTATATCCTTATAAGGAAAGAGAGTGTCCCTCCCTCTACAAAGAGTGTGTCTGGTGTATTAGTATACATTGAATCATTGAGTATCTATGACTGGACACATAAGTAGGACTAGGACTAGGGTAGTAGGAGGAGGAACACCTAGTGACAATATTACATAAATACCCAGTGGAAGAGATACAAACTACTACACTACTAGATGAGGGTCCCATTACTGACATTGTTATGATAACACATTATACATCTACAATACACTGGACTAATATTTACAGTATAACCTTGATTATCCGGACCCCTATGTCCATCAGGTGGTCCGGATAATTGAAATGACCTTTAAAACCTTCATATACTTACTCCAAAGAAAAGCTAGAGCCATAAGGAGGCTAAATCCAAGCCTTGTTACTAGTAGGAAGCCATTAATCAGCAGCATTCCACTGCTAAACAAGCTACTTCGTGTAGAAAGCAGCCATTCTATAATACCATATACTCTAATTAAGTGAATTTAAAGCACCACGTGGTCACTTCCGGTCATGATTTCAGAGTCCGGATAATCGAGGATCCGGATAATCGAGGTTATACTGTACTGGTATTCCTAGGCTGCGTTTACATGGCAACAAAAATGATACAATCCATACAGTTTTGTGCCTGCTTTATGCTTCTGTTTACACAGAAACGAATGAAAACATGATAGAATTATGATAGGACTCTATGGAAACGAAAATGGTGTTTAAAGTGTATCATTTTAAAAACGATACGTTTTGTGTTACTGTGTAAACGTAGCCCTAATTTAGTGAATTCATGCATCATCTAACACAATTTGTAAATAATTCAATTCAAGGAAATTGGATTATGCTTAGTATAATTAATCCTGGCCTAAAAAGGAGGTTTCAATCTTCATAATATACACATGAGGTTATTCAATGTTTAGTGTACTTAGTTCCACCAGAAGTAAGGTTGAAAGATGAATGAGGTAATGTATGGTAATAGACCAGACCCTTGCTTTGTAGAGGGAGGGACTGGCTATGTGAGACTAATAAGGAATGAATCTAATCAAGTGGAAATTTGTACTCATTACAAGTCCTTTTATGTAAAGATATTCACTCATTGATATTGTTCTATTAGTATACGCCCACTACTGACTATACATACTGTCAATGAATCAATGAGTACATGTACATGTATCTATGATATAGTGTCATATCTGACACTGGACAGGAGATGGTAGTGTATAGCGGGTAATTTCCTTCGGGTGTTTTTTATCTAAAAGTAAAATTCGGCACAAAAAATTATGTTGTAATCATTAAATCTCAGAAATGAAAATATAAAGCAGTAATATTATTGACATTATACTAAAATTAATGTATCACTCCCAATGGATCATTGATGGTAGGTATATAGTGTCTGAATGAATATGGAAAATTTACTGTCTCAAAGCAAAAATAACTCTGAGGCCATTAGCTGTGCATGACATAATACAGTACACTGTATGTACATGTACATTGGCAGTACAAGACATAATAAAAGCATTATATCTGAAATTTGGGACAATTCCCAAACTAACTACATCAATTGAATCATATATATGTACATGTAGATCTACCCACACACATTAACCAACACTGAGTACAGTATATATCATGTATACCGGTATACATTGTATCAGTACATTACTAACACAATATGTACAATACATTAATTATATACTCACTGGAGTGTCCCGATAAGCCATTTCTAACAAAAGAGAGCGAAAGAAAATGAGAAAAGAAGAGAATGAGAGGCTTTAGAATGAGTCAGGAAGCTGAAGTCAGCAGGATTTGGGCGTGTCCGACAATATTTTAGGTGTGGTCCGTGTGGACTTAGAATATACCCACGTGAATACACGTGGGTTGACTGTGCTGGAAGAATTTAAAGACTGCATGTGATATTATCCTCTTAAAACTTAACAATAATACTCAGTGTCAGTCTCTGATCCATTGGAATGAATCTACTATTCAACAATCATGACCTCTCTCTCTATT